ACGAAATACCTAGCAAAAGAGAAAGTGATATTCTATACTTTATTCTCTGCTTAGACTCTTTCTTCACTAAACTTCTTAGTCTCAAGTGTTAATTGCTAAATCCTAGAAGTTTAGTTCCTACTTCGAGGTTAGAACTTTCTTGTAAACAAATCAGATATTGTTGTAAACACTTCAGGAGGACAGTGTTCCCGGCCTGAGTGTGGTTAGATAGGTCAGGAGTACCTTTTGATCCCCACTGGATCAATTGAGAAAAACCTAAAGGATTGAGTGGCTTGGAGTGGTGTTGTACTCCTCGTGAAACATCTTCAATCTAGGCCAGAGTTGTCAAGGCTAGATTGACACTAAGTGTATTGAGTTTAATACATTAGTGAAATCCATTTGAAATAGGATGAGACTGGATGTAGGAGGATTACACCACATCTGAACCAGGATATACTGTGTGTTGATTTATTTTCAGTCAACAAAGCACACACAGAACACTTCTCATAAAAGTGTAGTTTGCCAGCAGCATCCTAAGCAGTAGTCTTAATTGACCCTACTGTTTATCCTACTGCTTAATAACTCACTTTCTTTGAGATACAAGAGCTTTGCAATATCACAACTATAAGGTCTGCTCCATTAGATTTCAGGAAATCTTACTTAAGGCATAGCAGTTGCCTCAGCAGTCCCCTGGTGACTACCAAACTGCTGAGCCCACTGCTCACACAAAAGTATTTCCTTTGAACATCTAAACTTCACCAGACCTCCACAACACTATCTCTAAGAAGTTTGTTCAAACTGATCTTTGTAACTCAAAGTGGTAACCAAGCAGGTGCCTCAGCAGTTCCCTCGCTATCATCCAACTGCCGAGACCACTGCTCCAGTAAAAATCCCACTTACTTGGACTAATGCACATCTTCAGAAAGCCCTCATCATCCTGAGCAACACCATATAATCAATCTTCACATACCTTCACTTTTACTTAAGCAGGTGCCTCAGCAGTTCTCTGGTTACCACCCAACTGTTGAGACCATTGCTCTCATTAAGGTTGATTATCAATCTACCTTGTTATATCATCAGAAAACTCTTCCCACTCTAAGAAAGATTCTGAGTGCACTTTCATCATACACTAGTATTTCGTTAGCAGTTGCCTCAGCAGTTCCCTGCTCTCTAGCCAACTGCCAAGCCAACTGCTCACCTTACAAATCCCAAACTTCATCCATCATAGAAAGTTGTTATACACCATTCATCTAAGAGGTTAAAAACTTCCGTTGTGCATCTATAGATCTCCCAAAAGATTATAGATCAACTCATCTAGAAGGGAAAACGTTTTAAAGTTGAAAAAGATTTAAAAGTCTATTCACCCCCCCCCCCCTCTAGACTTTTACCTCTATCCGGGACTATCATACTTAACCATGCAAGTGCTTTTCAACCATGAATAGTCAATTATGGATGGAAAGAAATTTAAACTAATCATGCTTCGTTCCTCTAGAATAGTCATGCATAAAAAGATATTTTTGCCTAAAATAATATTTTAGATAAAGTATAAGCACTGGTACAAGGAAAGAGCATTAATTGATAATCAAGTAGGTGTAATCATATTAATTCAATCCATTCCACAAAACTAGAAATGATTCTGTATTTGTTCCTCCTGCAGGGTTAGTCATCAACACAATAATGATGTCCGTTTGGACCTTAGGATAGTTCTATCCTTTGTTTCTGCAAGGTTAGTCATCAACATAATAATGATGTCTATTTGGACCTTAGGATAGTTCTATCCTTAGTTCCTGCAGGGCTAGTCATCAACAAAACACTTTCTTCAAACAAAAGCTTTCCGGGGAGAACCTTATTTCTTGGGATTGTTATTTGATGGAAAATTGTCGCAAGAATGTTAGTGATGGTATGTTCTGATGTCTGGTTTTGTCTGGTTTGGTTTCTTCTATATGGACACTCTGCTTCCTGTAACTGGCTGACAAAGATTTCGCTCGACATTATGACAATTGTGTACGGGGGAACAATGAGTCAGCACATAAAAAATGGCCAAAGGATTGGACCGCTCAGAACTACACGGGAGGAGAAAATAAAGAGTGGGATGGAGAAATACCTGGAACGTGAGTGATAGCTCTACCGACCTAGGGGTAGGCAAAACCGAGGGAGAGTCGAAGAATAATCAAAGTGTAATTCGAGTAAGAAATTAGGCAGAGTAACAATAAGCTAGAGAATTAGAATTGTCATCCCTTCCCATATGCTGGAATGTGATATGTATAGTGAACAAGGAAATATTTGGTGAACAAGTAAAAGTAATTGATCCTTTAATATATTGACACATTTAAAGTTGATTGGAGAGATAACGTGTAATTGATTGGTATTGATGTACTGACATGGCTTTGGCCCTTACGTATTGAGGTGGTAGGATAACCCACACGTGTAGGTCTAGCAGTTGGCATGTATAACCGAATTGTGTGACGTTAGACCCCAGGACAGCTGTCATAAAGTAACATAATTTTGAATGTTGTAATATCTTGATGTTGAAATGTCCAAGTCCACGATCTCTATCTGAGGTCCCCAGCTCGGTCGTAGAGGTTAAGCTCGGATGTAGTGCATTTAGCTAAGAGGTGGGGAACCTCGTCTCATAATGCGAAGTAGGAATTCTTTATTGATCTTGAGCTCGTAACACGCTAGTTGGCCTAGAGCTCGCCCGTAACGCCGGGATTGCCAACGACCTCGGCTGCAGTTTTGGATTTATTTTGATGATCTGAAAACCAGCTTTGAGATCGGGCTCGGGCTCGGGCTCAACTGAAGTTGCCTTAGAGGATTCGTGAGATCGCTTGGCATTAATGTTGATACCCCTGGGTATATGGCAATATACTCCATCAGGGAGAGTGATTACATTGAGGACTACCCGAAGATGGGCAGAAGCGTGCAATTTAGAGAGAGGAACTATGGAGAACAATCAAGAATTACAAAAGTTAGAACAATGCGAGAGGTAGGCTTATATGTCAGAAGGGACCGTCCCTCGAACTAGTAGCAGCACGACACGTTCCCCTAGGGCTAGAAAAGGATACACGTAACTCATAGGTGAAAGGACACCATCATCACCATATCCTCAAGCCACACAAACAACTACCATCACGACACTGCAACCTGCAATCATAGATATTGAATCGACATCAAGCTGAAAGCTTACTTCATTGTGCCTCTCGCTCGCTTGAGACATTAGAATTGGCAGACCTGTGTTGGTATATTGGCTGACTGAGTTATTGGGTCAACCCACTACATCTAGAAGTCGCAATCACTGAACCTTCTAAAACACAAAGGAGAAGTCCGAATGAACTCCTCACAGACTGGGTGACACCTCGATCTGAAGGAACCTAGCCAGCTGAATGAATCCCAGTGGCGGGGGATCGAGCCCACATGGGTTGAGCCTTGAACCTTTAGGCATACATCCTAGGGCACAACCGAGCGCCCCCGTGTCCAGGTAAGCGGTGCATGCCATAGCCTCAGGGGGACCATAGATGCTCGCCCTCTGACAATGGACGAGCGGTCCCCTCCTTTACATTACAACGTCAATTGGTTAATCAGACGGTGCTAGATATTGGCGGGGAACCTGAAAATCAGCGGGGAACACATTAAATACAAGACATTGCTTGAGTCAAGGAATTAAATGCAAGAATAGACAGTAGCAAGTGGATCACAAGATAACTTGACCTACCGAAAGTAGACAAGTCACTCATGCCCATACCGGCCAAATAATATAAATACCCTCACATTTACTCTAGGGATGAGTAGCTAAAATAACATTGAATAATATTACTCCCTAGTATTGAAAATAAGTATTGTATCCATTAGTATATCATATTAGCTTAGATCCACAATTGTTTTTGAGCGTATTGCAAGAGTTCTTTAATTGTAAGAATCAGATACACCTTGATCTCTTATTTAGTCTTACATTTCCATACTAATCATATATTTACGAACACCCACCAAAGATATCATTTTGGACCTTTTGTGTGAGGGAATTAACCTCAACGATAAGATCAATGCATCATGCAATAGCTATAAAGATATTAAGGTATAATTTGGGATTTTCATTAGTTTAACACTCAACCCTCATTGCCCTAGTTATCATAAATCAGAAACATGTGTAACACTATGGACTAAAATTATAAGGGGCACTTTTCACATTTACGATTTTCCTCATATGAAAGACGTTGGGAATTTTGTTCGGAATTTTGTTGTGTTTGATCAATAATTGACGGTTCTCGGAGAAACTCAACTAGAAACTTGAGGATATACATAATTAAAAAAACAAGACCGATTTTAGGTGGACGATGATGTATAGTTAGCGGTGGAAGTTGGAAGATTATTCTAACAACTCAAATTTATTATTCCAAAAATTTGAAATGGGTCCTCGGAACTCGGGAGTTCAGATTTTAATCGCGTACCCACAAAGAAATTTAAAATCATACTTCACTCGTCTCTTGTAACTTTACTTAATTTTCTTTTTCGGGATGTCACACTAACTTTATCACTTTTCCCTTCGAGTGAAGAATTTGTGATACTAGTTAATTCTCTCTCCTCTGCACAAATCTCAACCACACAGTTTTTATTTTATTAATCCTTGTACCAATCAAATTTGTCAAAGTTTTAAGGGATGGAAGGAGTAATAAGGAACCAAAAAAGAACCGAAAATGTGTAGTTGAGTTATTATTCTCTACGTAATCGTGGATAGATGTGGGTGGAGTCCTACAACTTGCACTTGAAATGAATGGGCCACCGGCACTTCTGTGCGGTGTGGTCGACAGCAGCTTAACATTCCTCCACATGTCTTTTCTTGAAGAAGCTGTATCATAAGAGGAAGAGACACCACCAAAAAGGCTTCTTTAGTCAGAACCACGTGTCACCCTCTCTCTTCATTCACTCACGCCACTTGTCCTTCCCCAGTACATTCCTCGTGTCCCACATCCAGGAAATCCAGGGCTATTTTCGTACTCATCCCTCTTTCTCCCTCCTCCCGCTCCCCGTTTTCCATGTTTCTTCCCACCGCTGGGCCCATCTCTCACTCCATTTGCATTCACACTCGTCTTTCTTGAGTTCCTTCTCTTCTTCCTTCGCCAACCCTTTCGCCTGAATCTCACCGCTCCGGAGGAAATTCAATTCACTTGCTTATGCTGTTCTTGATTTTCAGATATACCGTAGAAGTGATTCGAAGCCGGATGTAACATAAAGATTCATTCTTCGAGCAAACTGAAGGTAAAATGAAGATAAAGAAGGCATTTTTGAATCTGGGTGTGCTTGAATTGGTTCGACGTGCTGGTACATGTGGAAATTCTTGATCTTTTCCGTACGTTTGAGGTTGGATTAACTGGATATAGTGAAGAGAGAAAGAGCGGTGGAGTTGCAAATGCAGAATCTTTCTTCAGATTCAACTCCCTCGTCAAGGGACTTGTTGCAGAGGTTCATGGAAGAAGCCAGAGTAACTGGTGGTGAGTCGGAGAAGGGGAAAGAGGAGGCGAAAATCGAATTGAATCTCGGCCTTTCTTTGGGTGGGAGATTCGGGGTGGAAAAGAATCCCATGAATCTCGCCAGGTCTTCTTCTATAGCCGCATTCTTGCCGAGCGTGAAACAAGACGCGCCGCCGGAGGCAGCGTCTAGTCCTAGATTGGGGAGGACATCTTCCCTGCCGGTGGAGACGGAGGAGGACTGGAGGAAGAGGAAGGAGTTGCAGAGTTTGAGGAGAATGCAGGCTAAGAGGAGGAGGTCGGAGAAGGAGAAGCAGAAGAATTCACGGGGAGAGAAAGATTCCGTCATGGAAGATGAGAAGAAAGATATCGAGAAGAATCTCAAAGGGAAAATCAAGAGAGAACAGTACGTGACCGCAGCTAAGCGGTTTGGGTTATCTGCCCCGCCACAGCCCGGGCGTCCGACTTGGGTGGCGGCCGCGGCGGGTCAGGCGGCTTTTGGCGGCGGGTGTGGTAGGGGTGGACTGAAAGGGAAAAGAGGCGATTCAACCAATCTCAGTAAGGCCGTACAACCTTTATCACAAGGGTCTGTTGAATCTCAAGGAGGTAGTTCTTCAAGCATGTCTGAGTTTGAAAGTAAATCTCTTCAAGGTATATATTTGTTTGCCTTTGTTTACTTATTTATCTATTTTTTAGTTAAATTAAACAACTTTCACAAGCTGTTCAAAACTTTACATTATTTACTATAATCCATTTATTTGGGGATAGGCCAGGAAAAGAAGTGTTCTATATATCTGTGCTGCAGTTTTTTTGGGAAATGCTCATAATGTCTAGCATGTTTTCAGGATATTATTAAATTAGTTTGTCATAAACACAATTGTTATTGACTTGCATTGTTTTGCAGCACTACATGAGATTCCAAAATTTTATAATTATTTTGGAAATGGAAAACTCACATGCTCTAGTGAAATAACTGTCCTGATAGTGTTACTAGTAATCATCACAAAGCTATCCATTCAACACCTTGTGATTATTTTAGATAACATTCAAACATTGCCATCCTATAGTCAAGAGTGACTTGACTTTTCACCAAAAACAAACTGTGGTAAAGTTTTTTAATGCATCACATTAGCAATTAACACTTCCTTGTTCTGCTATTATAGTAAAATAAAATTGTGCTTTCTCTATGGTGAGGAGTATCTAACAAGTTTGATCCAATCATTCCTTTATTTGCTTTTCTTTTTGCAGCTTTTACTTTCTTTGATAGATTTGGTAATTTTTTTATTTATACAGAGTACTATATGTCTGTATATGGTTATTCCTTTCCTTCTGCTAATATAAGTAAGTACTACTGTTCTAGACAACTCAGTGCGTTTTACTGAGTTACATTAGTGCTAACTGAGATCTTTGCTTAATGTTAATAGATTTTATGAAAGATTGAGTACATGAAAAGGACATTAAATTTAAGAAATTTATTCATTACTATTTTCTTAAGGGGACATTGCATGGTTATATCTAGAACCAATATTCTTAGCTTCTAACGCAAACAAATGGATGGGGAAACCTTTCAAAGATGGTATTCTTGTTTAATTAGAGAGTGAAGTTAGTTTTGTAGTTGAACAAGTAATTTTAGGCCCCTGTTGTTCTATTAGCCATTAATTGTCTGACAGGTATTTGTATGATTCAGCTTGAAAGAGACTCGAAAAAGATAGATTTGTAATGACTTGGAAATCAGATAGACCAAAAGGTCAAAGCATATTTTCTGTGAACCATGAAAACAAATACAACTCCTCACAAAAAAAATACAACTCCTTCACTCACGAATCCTAGTTGCGATAAACACAATACTTAAAATATTGTCCAACGCTACACATTACGATTTGTAATGAATAGCGGTAGACAATCTTTTACCAATTCTGTTATCAACAACATGAACTCTCTTTAAGTACTCTTTCTATATCAAGGCTACTTGCTTCCATGGAAAGAAAATAATGTTATGCATAATTTGTATTTTGTCATGCATCAGTTTTGTGATAGATCTCATTTCTTATTATACAGATTATCAAAAGCGTTGTCCGTCAATCTTGAAGTGTGTGTGCTTATTGGTTAGACTTATTGTGAATAAATGCTTGTCCTGTCTAATTGGCTATATTACTATATCAGCACTTCGTATTTCATGTTAAAAGGTCAATTTGATAGAAAGAGTAGCCTAATGACTTATATGTGAATTCCATCTTTGTATTTTCCATTTATAAGATGACTTGACTCTCAACCTGCCTGAAAAGTCAGGTTATGAAACGGAGGGAGTATTTTTTATGTATCACCGTGCTTCCTTCAATTCCTTTTTACAACAGGGCCTCGCGAGCTTAGCCCTGGCAGTTTGCAGTCAAAAGATGTCAATTGTTCGGGCGTTAAGGCAATGAATCTTGGAAGTAGGCCAGGAACCGAGACGGAAAGCTCATCTGCCAAACCAGAGAGTGCAAGTGATAAGGCAAAGAAAACTGTAGGCCTGGAGGAGATGCCGTGCGTGTTCACCAAAGGAGACGGTCCCAACGGGAGAAGAGTGGACGGGATACTGTATAAGTATGGTAAAGGGCAAGAAGTGAGGATAATGTGTGTTTGCCATGGAAGCTTCCTCTCCCCGGCTGAGTTCGTGAGGCACGCGGGCGGGACCGATGTGTCTCACCCGCTCAAGCAGATCGTCGTCAACCCCAACTCCTCGCAGTTCACCTAGTATGACAATTTGAGATACTAGTTTTGTTTATCTCAAGTTTCTCTTTTCTTTATGCTGAAATTTTATGTTACAAAATATTTTCTTTGTAGGTTATTTCATGTGGGGAGAAAATAGATTTCTTTTATTTTTCATTTTCCCTTTTTTCTTCAGGAACTTGTATGTATTACAAATGTTCATGTTGGAGTTCTAAGTTAAAGTTATGAAAGAGAGTATAAGGTACACTCTTTTGTAGTTGGTCTGAATAGCTTATTTAGAGAAAATAGGAACACAAAGTAAAAAAATAGGGCCCTTTCTGTTTTGTATTAGTAGGGGGTCAGAGCAGACAAGCAGGGGCAGCGATGATTAAAAACAAAGGGCCCTACCGGGTTCGAACCGGTGACCTCTTGATCTGCAGTCAAATGCTCTACCACTGAGCTAAGGACCCAATTGGTTGTGATTCTGTTACGAACGTTTAAGACTTTAAGTTCCTATTCGACAGGGCACCCAAACTGAGATTCGTTTCAGAATAAATTTCAGAATGCGTAGCGGATTGAAGGAAGAAAACGAGAAACTCGTGGAGATGAGATAACATTATAGTTACTCAAAGGACCACCCACTTCTATGATTTTTTCATACACAAGTAACTATCTTGATTGAATCTGCTTTTCAGAAAAAATTTGTGTGTAGCACATGATAATAAAAAAAGAAAAAAATCATATGAAAAAATAGTTAAAAATGGTAACTTCAACAATTTCAATCAATTCAACTGTTAAAATAAGTGCTATCTTACTTTTTTTGTTATTTACTTTATTTGTTATGAAATAAGTCCTTAATTGATTAGTCACTTTATTCATTCATTTTTACGCTATTAATATAATCTATTTCTAGCTTTAAAAGCAGATTCAAATAAGCCAAAAAGGTGCTACCAAACAAATCTTAACTTATATTTTTTTTGAAAGGAAAATAATTATTTCTTATTAATAAAGTCATGATCGAGATAAAAAAAATCGGGAGAGTCCTGCGAGTTTCATAAACTCTGGAGCAGCGCCGCCTCCTAGGGTTTTCCTATGGGCATTTGTCCGACTATGATTGTTCGGTCGTGGTGCGAGTTTGGATTTTGCGTCTGTCAGTTGCTGATATAGGCATAGCAGATCGTTTTTGTGTTTTCTTTTTTTGGGATTGGGATCATCGACCTAATCGTTTTGGGATCTGTCTTGATTGATTCGAGCAAAGCATTCATTGGTGGCTTTAATTGTGCCCGAGGTGTTGGGTCTCGACAATGAGCAGGTTCGGAGGTTCTGGCACAGGGTTAGAGCAACCGTTTTGCATGGATAACTTTGTGGACAAATACAAGAAGATGGCAAGTGGGGCAGAGGAAGAAGATCTGGATCCAGATGAGGCTGATGTTGAGATTGTGGCGGATAAGCGGCGGGCGTGCCCCCCTTCTGAGCCGCCGCCATGGAGTGCAAGTAAATCTAGGGTTTGGAAGAAGACTTATCTTATTTGTTTTGTTTACTTTTCCAGCGGTTTTTATGCCTGCTTTGTTATTTGCTTTTTCTTTATTATTCTAGTTTGTAAGACGTTGATTTTGGATATGGGGGATGAGAGGAATATGGTGAGCGTTTTTGGCTCATTTGTGCCCATTAATGGATCAACGAGTTATATTGCTTCTGATAAGGTGATTAACTCTGAGTCTAGTTCGCGGGACGACGGTTGTCAGGATTCTACTTGTCGGATTACCCATCATCTAAATGTTGAGATTTCAATTTAAGCCAAATTCTTCCCAAAAAAAAAGTCATGATCGAGATGAGAAAGAATACAATTCGGAGGAGATAGAAACTAAGAACACTGATCAAGCAAAGTATACAAATCCTTATATATATATAATAATAATAATAATAATAATAATAATATCAATAATAATAATAATAATAATAATAATAATAATAATAATAATAATAATAATAATAATAATAATAATAATAATACGGAGTATATTTTACTCAAGCTTTGGGGTGATGGTACTATAGAGTGTGATCATAGCCCAACAACAACAAAACTATGAACAAAGCCCATTACTCGAGATTAATGTGAAACGATATATGGGCTTGAACAGGGAGATCATGGCACGCGGGGGATTTACCCGCCTTTGGGCCGACCTGAACAGCAGGTCTCGAGCCTGGACGAGATCCCAACAAGCTCAAACTGATCATCCTAGCGCTTACGTGGCAAGCCATCCACGAACACATCACTATCTGGCAGTGGCAGAGATTAAACTGAAGAGACGTGGATATAAAGGAGACATTAATAACGGGAGTAATGAAATAGATTACATGAGCCCTCCCATATTTAGAATTGTTTGATGTACCGATTATGTCTCCTACAAGCTACTGTAGCATCTCAATAAATACTTTTTGTAGTTACCCTAAAAGGATCCGCGTCCAAAATAATATTATATTACTCCCTGCGTCCCTAAAACAACTTCACACTTTGAGTATCACACACTTTTAGGTAGATTAGTTTTTGGGTCTGACTTACCTAAAATGCTCTCAAGGGCTGCGGCTACAACAACTAAAGGGAAATTAAATTTTGCGGTAATGAACAGTAATTAGGGGGGGTAAAAAATTAAATATCAACAGTAGTCAATCCAATCACACTCATTACATATCACATCCATTACTATTACAACATCTTTCTTCATCTAATCTATTCTAATCAATTTGAATACACTAAAACAATCCCTCCAATATTTCGGCCAAAGCTTTTGAATTTCCCTCCCATTACACTCTATTTATATCTACCTTATCAACATCTTTCTTCATAAGGTCTTTAGGCTATGTCATACAAGTTTCAAAGTCAACTGTGCATAAACTAGTGAAAGCTAACCAAATCAAAAGGCACTCAAATGCAATCAAACCTTTATTGACAGAGACATGCAAAAATAAAAGGTTAGAGTTTTGTTTAGGTCACTTGATCACTCATAACCCTACAAGAAATCCCACTTTTCATCATTTTTATGACCATATTCACATTGATGAAAAGTGGTTTTTCATAACTAAGGAAACAACCAACTTTTACACTCACAGTATTGAAGAAGATTCTTATAGAGCTGCTTAGTCTAAGAAATTCATACCCAATATAATGTTTTTAGCAGTTGTGGGCAGACCAAGGTTTGGGGATGCAGAGGATGTCATATGGGATGGGAAAGTAGGTATCTTTCCTTTCACGTTTCAAGAGAAAACAAAGAGATCTAGCAAGAACAGAATAGCAGGCACACTAGAGACAAAACCTACATTAAGTGTCACAAGGATTGTAATGAAAGACATGATGTTGCAGCATGTGGTGCCTGCCATCAAATCTAAGTGGCAAGACAGCGTTAACAAAAGAGTGATCATTCAGCAGACAATGCAAGACCACATGTTGATACAAAAGAAGAAGATTTTGTAAAATATAATGTGCAACTGAAAATGGATGGGACATAAAGTTACAATTTCAGCCCCTAACAGTTCTGACTTAAATGTCCTTGACTTGGGCTTCTTTAGGGCCATTGACTCACTAAGGAAATATCAAGCCCCTAAGTCAATTTCCAAATTAGTAGAAGCTGTGACATCAGCATTTGATGCTCTCACAGCCACCACATTAAATAGAGTGTTCCTCAGCTTCCAGTTTGTAATGGAGGAAATACTAAAGCACAAAGGGGGGAACAACTTAAAGCTGAGGCATGTTGGAAAAGAAAAACTTGAAAGACAGGGCATGTTACCTAAAAATGTGGAAATCGGCCTTGACATACTCAATGAAGCAAAACAAGCACTCATTCAGATGCAAATAGTTGGGGTACAAGCAACAAACCATACCCATGGAGGTAAGTTCATAAGTGAAAATCAAGTAGATCTTCAAGAATGAACTCAGGCACATGGAGGCCAATGTTTTTGTATGTACTTCCTTTATAGAGAAGAGGTACAATTTTTGTATGTACTGACATATGTGCCCACAGTACACATATTTTTGTAGTTTGTTTCATGCTTAGCATACAAGTATTAAATATAGAAAAAACAATTAATGTTTTGACTTATCAATCCATATAGGCACACATTGGTTGAAAATGAACAACAGTTTGACAATGCACAACCATAATCAATGTGCAGTGGGACTCAATCCAGTAAGCCCAAATCATATGCTACAAATAAACAACAAATGCTTGTGCACACAATGCCCTAAATGGTCTCCAACACTTTGTACAAGTGGGTGACACAAGGACATAATGAGTCAAATATCCGCAAATTCACAAATTGTCATCATAGTGTTTAGATCATACAAACTGTGACACCCCCAAATTTTCCACCCAAAATAATACTTAGAAATAGAGATGAACTTTTATTTAATGATTAAAACTTCAAAAGTTGCAGCGGAAATTAATAAAACTAAGTAAAAGGGGTATGTCACCGCCACATCCAATCCGTGAATGATTGGATGCTAAGGCTATCTACCAAAACACGAGTTTAACAAAAATCAAGATGTTCGAATCATAAGAAAATATTAAAGTTTATTTCTAGTGAACTACATAATTGTCTTCTAATTCGCGCTCTCAAACATTTCAGCATCAAAATCATCATGATCACCTCCTGTTAAATACGAGCACAAGAAAAATAAAAGAAAACAACCATTAGCAATAATGCTAAGTAAGTTCCACCTAACCTTTTAAAATAATAATAAATAATATATATATAAATTCGTACAACCTCATAAAATATTTTTCAACACTTTATAAACCATAAATCATAAGTAAACGATATCTATATAAAATCCCAATCACATAATTAACTCGTAAACCATAATAATTCCAAAATACATGAAACACCAAAATTCTCCTCTTTTGAATTTCTCCCAAAATCACTTTGTATCTAACTCCCTAATAATTTAGAAGGGCGGTGCTCAACACTTTGGTTGAGCCCGGTGGTTCGTTGTTATGTACGGCCACCCCGGAACTATCGCCGGTACCACAACTGCTCCTTGGAAACGGAAACAACTACTTTAAGTGTGCACACCCCCTAAAGGTATTCCAAGCCCTCCGGGTTAGTAAGTCGATCCGGGTAGCCGGGATGTTTTCTACCAACTACCCCACCTCAAAATCTGAATGATTAGGAGCTACTACTACCATTACTACTCAAAAGCCGGGATGTTTTCTACCGACTGTCAATTCACCTCAAACCAAAACCACAAAAATTGAGTAGTAGTAGACCTAACCATCCTCCACATTTTAAGGGACGTGGAAAACCAACATCACGGATTTCTCCCGTGATGCTCACCTTTTATGAAAATATTTATTTTTCTCTAAATCAATCGAAGTTTATACTTCAAAATTCCCTTTTTCATCAAACTCCCACAAAGATAACAAATTACGTACTATTACAAAATATCCCAAAATCGTATACAATAATTCATATCAACAAAACAGTATATCAACTAATATCTCAAATACAACCCTTTCATATAATAATATTCACTCAAATTCAGCACACATAAATTCAATTCTCAAATATGCACACAAAAATATGTAAAAGAAATCACGAAGAAAAAGAACTAATATCGGTTGACGTGAAACTTACCTTAAGTCCCGATGCTCCTAATTCTCTTCTTCAATTTGGGTCTCTAAGTATTCACCTTTTTAATTAAGATAATATAATTAGTCACTTATTCTATTTCAATCATTTATCCTTTTTCCCCCCTTTTTATTTCCTTATTCAAATTTATTAATTAATTAATTATTCGAGTTAATCACTTTTTATTAATCAAATTACCTTATTAATTCAGTCATTAATTACAGTATTTGAATTCTAATATTAAATAAAATATTCGAATAATTAACTACAACATCTAAATCACGATTAATATTTCCTTATTTAATTACTTAACTAGTCTTATATGGCCTAATTTAAATAAATAGACTAAGAATCGATTTTATAAATTAGTAACCGTCCATAAATATATTTTGGGTCTATATTCGACCTAGGTTGTCCAGATATCTATTTTATAATTATTTTCCCTAATTATTCCTTTAATTTCATATATCTATTAACCGGTTTAATTACAATTAAATATACTAAACCTTATTTTTATTAATTATAAATGGTCCATAAGGTCCTAGTGAGTCATATATTTATCCTAGTTTACTCTAATATTTATTTCATAATTACTTTCGTTATTTAGTTAATTATTTACTAAATGTGTATAAATTGGCCCAATTACCATTAAATCCATTAAAAATAGCTAAAAACTTTATTTTCCAATTCTGGTTGGTCCGAATATGTATATGTATACTAGGTATTTAATTTATATTTTTCCAGATTTTATTTATTTCATTTACTATTTTATTTTTAATTTTTATTGCAACTGGGCCGAACTGGGCCAAATTAAATTATTCTGGCCCAAAACAATTAGGCCCAAGAGGGACCCCAGCTGGGTCTTCTTCTTCTTCCCCAGGTCGCCGGAAAAACGGGGAGAGAGAAAAAAAACGGGGAAAGAGGTTTTACCTCGTCGGAAACGGCCAACGGGGTAGCGGTGCACTCCTCTCGGGACGGCGAATGACGGTGGTGGGTTGGCGGCAGTGGCAGCTCCTCCCTCTTCTCCGTTTTCCGTCGAAAAGCTTTTCTCCGGCGAAACTCCGGCGAGGTTTTTCTCCCTCGTTTCACGACCGTTTTCGACGATTCTTTTTCCGTTGGATTCGTATCACGAAGGGGAAGGTTTGAGAAGTATTTTAAGGGATTGGTTTGGGCTAAAACGAATGGTCGAAAAAAGAGAGTAAATATATATACGTATATATGTATATATATGGGCTGAACTGATCGTTTTCTTGGTGTAAATAAAATGCAGGTTAAGGTTGCTATTTATAGGGGAAGGTCCTGGTTTTAAATTTTCAAGCTTCTCCGATTTGTTTTAATTTGAAACCCGTTCCTACTTGGTCTTGGAAGTTAAGAGTTTGTGTTAGAGCATCCTACTTATTGTATATATTCCTCCGTAAGTGTAATTCTTAGAACTAACGTTTGTTAGAGTCTTAATATACTTGTATTACGTAAGTGTAGTTTAAGTATATTATACTGTATATTATTAATACGTATTGATAGTTTATGGTATATGGAGTGATATATCGGGTGTACCGCTTCTTAGTATGTAGGTATTAAGTTTATCTTTTGGTTATTAAAATATAGCTTTTACTTCTTATACCATATGTATAATTGATACTTGATATAAAATGTTACTTCTTTTATCGGACCACTTTTATCAGACTAAAAATGTCGTAAATGTAAATTTTCTGTCTGGTTCACTTGTTTACTAAAATGTTGTTCTTATCACCGAAGTATTTTTATCTGACTAAAACGTCATAAATTTTGAAAATTTTATCTGATTAAAATGTCACATCTGTTGAATTTTTGTCTGACTCAATTATTTATAAAAATGTTATTTTTGTAATATTTTATCTGACTAAAAATTATTTTTATTTTTATTTAAATTTTTGAAGTGTCACATTCTACCCACCTTAAAAGATGTTTCGTCCTGAAACATAAACTAAATTTAAATAATCAAATTCTTAAGTATTACATTCTACCCCCCTTAAAGAGAGGTTACGTCCTCGTAACTAAAATTTTACCTTAGTCAAATAACTCTGGATAGCGTTTGCGCATATCTTCCTCAGTCTCCCATGTGGCATTTTCGGCCAAGTGGTTAGACCACAACACCTTCACCATCTTAACCGCTTTTCTCCTAGTCTCGCGAGTCTTAGTATCCAAAATTTGGATCGGCCTCTCCTCATAAGTCAATGATTCATCCAACTCGACCACCTAAGAAAGTCGAGGTTAGATGTGATACTTTGATCTAATTATCATAAGGTTACGATTTGTACCTCGGGGCTAAGAATATGGGATTCGTCGCGGACATACTTCTTCAATTGGGAGATATGGAAAACGTTGTGTACCTACGCATAACACACTTTAGTACTTGAGAGAAGTTTAGTAAGGTATTCACTAACGAGCGGTTATAGTATGTTATACATTAGCCAACTCGGTGGGTAGAGCTAGACGATATGCCACTCTTCCCACTCGCTCGAGGATGTCATATGGGCCAATGAACCTCGGGCTTAGCTTTCCCTTCTTTCCAAATCTCATTACTCCCTTGGTCGGGGAGACTCTGAGTAGGACTTTCTCCCCTGCTTCGAATTCGGCTGGTTTCCTCCCCAAGTCTGCATAAGACTTCTGACGATCTTGTGCAGCTTTCATCCTTGCTTGAATCATCTTCACTTTGTCCATGGTGTCTTGGAGGTAATCCGGTCCTAGTACCACTTTATCTACCATATCGCTCCAGCATAATGGGCTTCTACACTTCTGACCGTATAAAGCCTCGTACGGAGCCATCTTGATGCTTGCATGGTAACTGTTGTTGTATGAGAACTCTATCAAGTCTAAGTGTTCATCCCATGAACCCTGCAAGTCTAGTATGCAAGCTCTCAACATATCTTCAAGTGTCTGGATAGTTCTCTCCGTCTGTCCGTCCGTCATAGGATGAAATGCAGTGCTTAGCTTTAGTTTGGTCCCCATAGCTGCTTGCAATTCCCTCCAGAATTGTGATAAGAAACGGGAGTCTCGGTCAGACACAATATCTCGGGGCACACCATGATATTTGACCACGTGTTGGATGTATGCTCTAGCCAGCTTATCCATACTCCAAGTTTCATTCATGGGGATGAATCTCGCAGTTTTGGTAAGTCTGTCGACGATCACCCAAATTTTGTCTTTTCCAGACTTTGTTAGGGGTAGTCCTCCGACAAAGTCCATCGAGATCGAGTCCCATTTCCATGTTGGCACTTCTAAGGGTTGCATGAGTCCCTTGGGCTTGCATCTCTCAGCCTTGACTTTCTGGCAGTTAAGGCATCTGGCTACAAATTCCGCCACTTCTTTCTTCATTCGTGGCCACCAGAAATTCTTCTTTAAGTCTTTGTATAATTTATCCCCACCTGGGTGTACCGAATAAGGCGTGTTGTGTCCTTCTTCCATGATTTGCTTTTTGGCGTGCTCACATTTCATAGGGACACACCACCTGCCTTTATAACGAATACTACCGTCATTATGCATCATGAATGGTCCATTGATTCCGTCTATCATTCCGGACTTGACTCGCTCCAACTTCACGTCTCCAGGTTGTCCCGCTTTTATTTCTTCATAGAGTGATGAGGTGACGGTCATGGAACATAACTGTACCTCGTTATCCACCTCCCCGAATTCTCTCACTTCCAAACTCAGCTTTTGGAAGTCTCGCCATAGCTCGTTGGGTAGGATCCATGTTGCTCTACAAGAATGCATCGACTTACGGCTTAGAGCATCTGCCACGACATTAGCTTTGCCTTCATGGTATTGAATCACTAAGTCGTAATCTTTGACAAGTTCTAGCCATCGCCGTTGCCGCATATTGAGCTCCTTTTGCGTGAATATGTATTTGAGGCTCTTATGATCAGTGTAAACTTTGCATTGTGCCCCGTACAAGTAATGTCTCCAAAGTTTCAAGGCGAAAACCACCGCAGCTAGCTCTAGATCATGCGTAGGGTAGTTGACCTCGTGAGTCTTCAGTTGCCTTGATGCATAGGCCACCACCTTTCCATTTTGCATCAGAACGCAACCTAACCCTTTCAATGAAGCATCGCTGTAAATCTCAAACCCTTCTGTTCCGGATGGTAGGGTCAAGACTGGTGCGGTTGTCAACCTCTGCTTCAGCTCTTGGAAAGCTTCTTCACACTCGCTACTCCACAGGAATTTAGTGGTCTTCTTTGTGAGGTTGGTCAAAGGCCTTGCTACCTTTGAGAAATCTTTCACAAATCTTCGATAATACCCAGCCAAACCTAGGAAGCTTCGAACCTCCGTCACCGTGGTGGGTGCAGGCCAACCTATCACCGCTTCAATTTTTGATGGATCAACCGAGACACCTTCTTGGGTGATGATGTGACCCAAGAATGCTACCTGATCCCTCCAGAAGTCACACTTTGAGAGTTTGGCGTAGAGCTGATTGCCTCTCAAAGTCTGAAGTACGGTTCTGAGATGCCCCTCGTGATCACTAGGTGTCCTTGAATACACCAAAACGTCATCAATGAACACTACCACGAACAAGTCGAGGTAGGGTCGGAACACACGATTCATTAGGTCCATAAATACCGTAGGCGCATTAGTTAAGCCGAACGGCATTACAGTGAACTCATAATGTCCGTACCTCGTTCGAAATGTCGTTTTTGGAATGTCCCTCTCGGCAATCCTTACTTGATGATAACCGGATCTCAAGTCAATCTTGGAAAACGTACTTGCTCCTTTCAGCTGATCGAACAGATCGTCAATGCGCGGAAGTGGATATTTGTTTTTGTTAGTTGCTTGATTTAGTTCCCGGTAATCAACACACAGCCTCAAGCTTCCATCTTTCTTCTTGACAAATAACACCGGAGCGCCCCAGGGTGAGACACTCGGTTTGATATAACCCTTCTCCAGCAGATCTTGAAGTTGTTCCTTCAGTTCTTGCATCTCTTTTGGTGCCATTCGATAGGGTGCCTTCGAGATTGGTGCAGTCCCGGGCATCAAATCGATGGAGAACTCCACTTCTCTTTCTGGAGGCATCCCCGGAATCTCTTCAGGAAACACGTCCGGGAATTCATTGACCATGGGAATTTGGTCAATGGTCTTTTCTTCCACCTTTGAGTCTTTGACTACGCACAGGTATGCTTCACATCCCTTCTGAACGTAGCGCTTTATTTGTTGTATGGTTGCCAGCTTTACTCCCGGGGTGGTGGTCACAGCTTTGTAGGATACTCTCTTCCCATTCGGGCCCTTCATGACTACCTTCTGTTCGCCACATAGAATTTTTGCTTTGTATCTTCCGAGCCAGTCCATGCCAAGCACCACGTCTATGTCTTCTAGATCGAATTGAATCAAGTCTCCAGGGAGATTGGTATCACTTATGAGTATGGGTACATTTGAGTACACATTCCCACAAGCCACAACTTTTTCAGCTGCCGTTTTTACATTCAATTCTATTCTAGTAGTGGGTTCTATTCCCAGTTTCTTAACAAAGCTTGAAGATATAAAACTATGAGAATCACCAGAATAAAAAAGAACATAAGCAGGCATGGAGTTCACTTGAAAGGTACCTGAAACCACATCACAGGCATTAGCTTGAGCTTGATTCATCACGTAGATCTTGCCTTGGTTAGGGGTGTTGTTGTTGCCCTTGTGGTTTCCCCCATTCCCACGAGCGTTGTGGTTAGGATTCTCTGCGCCTCCTGGCCTATTTCCTCCAGGATTGCCTCCCTTGTTGATTTGGCCCTGGTTCTGGGGAACCCTCCCTTTTCCCACGTGACACTCATATGCTCTATGGCCCATCCTGCCACAATCATAACATTTCACTGCATTGCCCGCACAATCGCGTCCAGGATGATTCTTTTGGCATAACTTGCAATGATAATATCGTTCACCCGTCGGACCTTTTCCTGGGAAGTTCCTTCCTCCTTGATTGCGATTGCGATCATCTCCCCGCCATTGTGTTCGTTGTTCAGGGGGATTGGGTCTACCTCTCTTCTCCCTTGGTGGTTGGTCATCGTCGTCTCTGATACCAACTTGTGACACCCCCAAATTTTCCACCCAAAATAATACTTAGAAATAGAGATGAACTTTTATTTAATGATTAAAACTTCAAAAGTTGCAGCGGAAATTAATAAAACTAAGTAAAAGGGGTATGTCACCGCCACATCCAATCCGTGAATGATTGGATGCTAAGGCTATCTACCAAAACACGAGTTTAACAAAAATCAAGATGTTCGAATCATAAGAAAATATTAAAGTTTATTTCTAGTGAACTACATAATTGTCTTCTAATTCGCGCTCTCAAACATTTCAGCATCAAAATCATCATGATCACCTCCTGTTAAATACGAGCACAAGAAAAATAAAAGAAAGCAACCATTAGCAATAATGCTAAGTAAGTTCCACCTAACCTTTTAAAATAATAATAAATAATATATATATATAAATTCGTACAACCTCATAAAATATTTTTCAACACTTTATAAACCATAAATCATAAGTAAACGATATCTATATAAAATCCCAATCACATAATTAACTCGTAAACCATAATAATTCCAAAATACATGAAACACCAAAATTCTCCTCTTTTGAATTTCTCCCAAAATCACTTTGTATCTAACTCCCTAGTAATTTAGAAGGGCGGTGCTCAACACTTTGGTTGAGCCCGGTGGTTCGTTGTTATGTACGGCCACCCCGGAACTATCGCCGGTACCACAACTGCTCCTTGGAAACGGAAACAACTACTTTAAGTGTGCACACCCCCTAAAGGTATTCCAAGCCCTCCGGGTTAGTAAGTCGATCCGGGTAGCCGGAATGTTTTCTACCAACTACCCCACCTCAAAATCTGAATGATTAGGAGCTACTACTACCATTACTACTCAAAAGCCGGGATGTTTTCTACCGACTGTCAATTCACCTCAAACCAAAACCACAAAAATTGAGTAGTAGTAGACCTAACCATCCTCCACATTTTAAGGGACGTGGAAAACCAACATCACGGATTTCTCCCGTGATGCTCACCTTTTATGAAAATATTTATTTTTCTCTAAATCAATCGAAGTTTATACTTCAAAATTCCCTTTTTCATCAAACTCCCACAAAGATAACAAATTACGTACTATTACAAAATATCCCAAAATCGTATACAATAATTCATATCAACAAAACAGTATATCAACTAATATCTCAAATACAACCCTTTCATATAATAATATTCACTCAAATTCAGCACACATAAATTCAATTCTCAAATATGCACACAAAAATATGTAAAAGAAATCACGAAGAAAAAGAACTAATATCGGTTGACGTGAAACTTACCTTAAGTCCCGATGCTCCTAATTCTCTTCTTCAATTTGGGTCTCTAAGTATTCACCTTTTTAATTAAGATAATATAATTAGTCACTTATTCTATTTCAATCATTTATCCTTTTTCCCCCCTTTTTATTTCCTTATTCAAATTTATTAATTAATTAATTATTCGAGTTAATCACTTTTTATTAATCAAATTACCTTATTAATTCAGTCATTAATTACAGTATTTGAATTCTAATATTAAATAAAATATTCGAATAATTAACTACAACATCTAAATCACGATTAATATTTCCTTATTTAATTACTTAACTAGTCTTATATGGCCTAATTTAAATAAATAGACTAAGAATCGATTTTATAAATTAGTAACCGTCCATAAATATATTTTGGGTCTATATTCGACCTAGGTTGTCCAGATATCTATTTTATAATTATTTTCCCTAATTATTCCTTTAATTTCATATATCTATTAACCGGTTTAATTACAATTAAATATACTAAACCTTATTTTTATTAATTATAAATGGTCCATAAGGTCCTAGTGAGTCATATATTTATCCTAGTTTACTCTAATATTTATTTCATAATTACTTTCGTTATTTAGTTAATTATTTACTAAATGTGTATAAATTGGCCCAATTACCATTAAATCCATTAAAAATAGCTAAAAACTTTATTTTCCAATTCTGGTTGGTCCGAATATGTATATGTATACTAGGTATTTAATTTATATTTTTCCAGATTTTATTTATTTCATTTACTATTTTATTTTTAATTTTTATTGCAACTGGGCCGAACTGGGCCAAATTAAATTATTCTGGCCCAAAACAATTAGGCCCAAGAGGGACCCCAGCTGGGTCTTCTTCTTCTTCCCCAGGTCGCCGGAAAAACGGGGAGAGAGAAAAAAAACGGGGAAAGAGGTTTTACCTCGTCGGAAACGGCCAACGGGGTAGCGGTGCACTCCTCTCGGGACGGCGAATGACGGTGGTGGGTTGGCGGCAGTGGCAGCTCCTCCCTCTTCTCCGTTTTCCGTCGAAAAGCTTTTCTCCGGCGAAACTCCGGCGAGGTTTTTCTCCCTCGTTTCACGACCGTTTTCGACGATTCTTTTTCCGTTGGATTCGTATCACGAAGGGGAAGGTTTGAGAAGTATTTTAAGGGATTGGTTTGGGCTAAAACGAATGGTCGAAAAAAGAGAGTAAATATATATACGTATATATGTATATATATGGAGCTGAACTGATCGTTTTCTTGGTGTAAATAAAATGCAGGTTAAGGTTGCTATTTATAGGGGAAGGTCCTGGTTTTAAATTTTCAAGCTTCTCCGATTTGTTTTAATTTGAAACCCGTTCCTACTTGGTCTTGGAAGTTAAGAGTTTGTGTTAGAGCATCCTACTTATTGTATATATTCCTCCGTAAGTGTAATTCTTAGAACTAACGTTTGTTAGAGTCTTAATATACTTGTATTACGTAAGTGTAGTTTAAGTATATTATACTGTATATTATTAATACGTATTGATAGTTTATGGTATATGGAGTGATATATCGGGTGTACCGCTTCTTAGTATGTGGGTATTAAGTTTATCTTTTGGTTATTAAAATATAGCTTTTACTTCTTATACCATATGTATAATTGATACTTGATATAAAATGTTACTTCTTTTATCGGACCACTTTTATCAGACTAAAAATGTCGTAAATGTAAATTTTCTGTCTGGTTCACTTGTTTACTAAAATGTTGTTCTTATCACCGAAGTATTTTTATCTGACTAAAACGTCATAAATTTTGAAAATTTTATCTGATTAAAATGTCACATCTGTTGAATTTTTGTCTGACTCAATTATTTATAAAAATGTTATTTTTGTAATATTTTATCTGACTAAAAATTATTTTTATTTTTATTTAAATTTTTGAAGTGTCACATTCTACCCACCTTAAAAGATGTTTCGTCCCGAAACATAAACTAAATTTAAATAATCAAATTCTTAAGTATTACACAAACCCCCATCATCATCAATCAAGATACATAGAGTACATACGAATGAGATTAAAAGTACAATACACACGTATGAGTCACACATAAGAAGTAAACACACACATTCAGTTTGCAAAAGTCAATTATTAGAGAGACTGTATTTCATGAGCGACATAAGCATTACAAAACATAGGGGCATAAAGTAAAAGAGATGAGATTAGAAGCCTTCCTAAGAGGAATTAGTCCCCAAGGCATCCACGACCGTTTGCGACAATGGCCAAAGATGTGGTCATACTCATCCGAATAGCATGGAGGATTCGAGTTCACCTCCCCCCTTCGTCCTCTGAAGTTGGAAAGCCTTCGTAAGTGTCCTCCACGTAGTCAGACCCCCACTTCTTCTGTATTGCCCATCCAGAGTCGGTTTCTGAAGAACTCCAACCTCATTGGCCAGACTCAACATCATCCTTATCTGCGACAACTTTTCCTGAGGGTTTCTTCACCATAGTGGGCAAGGAATTCGAGTTTCCAGGGATGGGGTAAATATTTGAAGGAAGCGCGACATGCACTTTCGGAATTAGGGTTTCATCATCGCGGCGGTTTGATTAAGGAGCTAGGGTCTCATCACCCCGACGAAGAATTTTAGGGACAAGAGTGTTTTTCGTGTTCTCCATGGACGAGAAAGGGGAGAGAGCGGAGAGGTGAAGAGGCTTTTGGATAGAAGAGAGAGATAATGGCGTGCGGTATAAACGAGGGGTTTGAGTTAATGGGGCACCGAACAAGCAGAGGAAGGAGGGATATGGGTGGGGGGCATTTATGACTTTTTGGGTTTAAAAACTTTCTTTTATGGAAATGAGAAGTTAATTTTGGGATATCCATTTAAGGAAAGTGAGAAGTTGTTTTTGGGATGAAGGGAGTATATTATAGGTGACAACTTAGATACCCTTTGATGGAGTATATGGCCCGGGAACCCCCGGCCCACAGACTCCTACTACTCCAGCGAAGGCCCAACAGGCCCAGAAGGCCCAGCAGGCCCAAATCACAGCGCCCAGAGTACCAAGCAGCCCGCACTACGCGCCAGGGGTGCCTTCGGCCCCCTGGCCGAAGGCTCTAAATTCTCACAGAACGGGTTTCTCAAGCAAATTAAGAAACTGGGAGAAAACGGCGAAAACAGTAGCCCTCGGCACTGTGAGCCCTCGGCACCAGGGTGCCATCGGGTGGAAGAGCCCTCGGCTACTGCTCTATAGCCGAAGGCATCTCACTCGACAAGATATCCGCCTCACATGCGTACAGATCACCGTACCCCGCACAGACGTCCCATCCAACAGCCGCATTAAATGCGGCCACATGCGGCTGACAGCGCCAACCAGCTGAGGTGACCCCTCGGCCAATGAGCGCTTGACACGTGTCCCTGCCCGGCATTTATTGCTACTATAAATAGCACCCCATTTCCTCATTTAAAACCACGCTGAAAACGGCATTCATACTGAATACACTCTCTCTCTACTTTTACTTGCTTACTCTGACTTCTCTCTCTGAAGTTATTCCCCGTGATAACCCTTCGGATATATACCCCCGGGTAGACTATCCATCATTTGGTGCTCTCGTTGAGAGGTCGAACAATCAAGTAAGAAACCCTCCCCCTCGACCAAACACAAAACACTAGCCCTCTATCAAAATGGTGAGGACAACACGTGCCAACTCAAAAAACGTAGAAGACAAGAACCTGGCCCTCGGCGACGTCAACGCCCCCGAAGCCTCTCACAGGGCTCCCGAGGGCGGTGTCATCGCTGGGCTGGAACAGGCGGCTGTCGACCTACGCCTTCAGATCCAACAAAATGCCCCTGATGCCCGCCTCGGCATCGAGGCCAAGAAGAAAAACCGGAGCGATGACCAAGTCAGTCCTCCGGTTCTCACCATCGACGTGCAATCGGCGCTCTCCGCCTTCATCCAAACGCTCACTCAGAACCCGGGTGCCTTCGGCACCCTGGCTCCAGCTCACCCCCAGGTTCGGGAAAACATCATACTTCCCCCTCTGCCACACCCCTTCGGAAATCCCACCCCTCGGGTGAGAAACGACGAAGGGGTGGTGGCCCAAGATACGTCCTCCCAGGAAGTTCAGTCCCGGGACCGCCATAATGACAACAGGGAAAGGCCCCGTACTTCCGCCCTCAACCGGCTCGGAGGAGGGCCAGACCGCCGAGGGGTCCAAGACCGCCTCGGGGGGAAAGCACTCCAAAGGCCCCAGGAAAGCGAGGGATCTGTTTCGAGGGCAGACGAGGAGCGTCCCCCTCGGGACAAAGGCAAGGCACCCCTTCATGCCAATGATGCCCGCCACCAAATCAACCAGGCCCACTCGGCCCGGGTTCGTTCGCAGGGGGCGGAGACCCTCCCGAAGGATCCCCGGGACGAGATTATTGTGGCCCTCCAACGCCGGCTTGATGAAATGGAGTCCAATAAAGCTCACGCCACCACCTCCACCCCTCATTCAGACCTGAAATACGAGGCCATGATGGCCAAAATGGAGGAATTACAGAAGAAGGTGGCCGAGGGCTCCGGGGAACCCGTCATCCAGCTCCGGACTCGGACGCCATTTACCCCAAGGGTATTGGCGGCCCGGATCCCGGAGAAATACCGAGGGCAACACATACAGCCATACAACGGGAAAACGGACCCCCAGGAACACTACAGCAAATACCAGAACGGCATGATGATGGTAGGGGCGTCAGACGAATATTTGTGTCGTTGGTTCCTCTCCACCTTAGAGGGGCCGGCGTATGAATGGTTCAACACGCTGCCCGAGGGATGCATTGATTCGTGGCAAGAACTCGCCCAGCGATTCTTGACACAATTTGCCGGGAGGCGTCGCACAAGGAAGCACTTCTCCCACCTCCTAACAATACACCAGAAGAAGGATGAGACCCTTCGGGATTTCCTAGAGCGCTGGAGGACGGAGGCCGACAAGGTCGACGGTGCTGATGACGGGACCCTCCTGGCCCTCCTACAAACCGTCCTCCGCACCGGCAACTTTTCAAGGAGCCTCATCATTGAACCCCCCCCCCCCCCCCCGCGACTACATAAGGGCTTTGCAGCGGGGGGACCGATATGCTGAGGCCGAGGAGGTGGAGAAGTATCACCAGTATCCGGACCAGCAGCCCCCGAGGGCTGACAACAAGCATAACCGAGGGCCGGGGGCTCCTCCAAATCACCCCAAGACTTCGGGACCCTCTGATGACCGCCCTCGGCAAGGCCAAGCCAAGCCCGGGGGAGGTTATAAGAGCAACCCTAAAACTTGGGCACAGCCCATTCTCCTGGACCGCCCTCGGACACCATTGACGCACCCCGTCAGCATCATCCTCGATTTTGCCGAGGAGAGGAGCCTCGTTGAGCGCGACTCTCGCGCACCCCCGGAGGTACACGCTATCAACCCTCAGTTCCCCTACTGTCGCTTCCATCGGCACCAGGGGCACATGACCGATGACTGCCATCAGCTGAAGACAGCCATCGAGAGGTTAATACAAGCAGGGCACCTGTTCCAATTTGTTCAGAGCCCTCGGCAGGAGGGACCTTCTCATCAGGGGCCTCCCTGAGGGCACCACACGAAGGTAAATGCTTGGGTAAACCCGAATACCATCCCCCTCGGAAAGAAGAGGGAGATTGGTAACTTGGAAGAAGAGGAGGAGGAATACCCCCACTACCAGGAGAAAAAACGCCACATCCTCATGATCACCGGTGGCAATACAGGGGGCGATTCCACCAGCCAGCGAAAGAAGTGGGCTCAATCGCTTTACGTGGGGGAAGTCACTCATATGCCCCCGGTAAAGAGACTGAGGGAGGAACCCATCACCTTCACCAACGCAGATCTCCCTCCTACTTCTTCTCCTCACATGGATGCCTTGGTGATTCGGACGGAGATAAACGACACCATCATTCACCGAACTTACATTGACATGGGCAGCTCCGTCAATGTAATGTACCTCAGCACCTTCAGAGAGCTGCATCTGGAGAGGGGTTCCCTTCGGCCCATTAAGACCCCTCTTTCCGGCTTCACCGGCGATACTATTGATTCCGAGGGGGTAATAACCCTCCCGGTGATCTTCGGCGACGGGCTCCATAGAGCCCAGCTCGAGGTGGAGTTCGTCGTCGTCAACATTGACTGCGCCCACAACATCATCCTCGGCCGGCCAGCCCTCGAGGACCTCGAAGCCATCATCTCCATGAGGCACCTCTGCCTCAAGTTTCCCGCCGAGGGGGGCATTGGCTACTCCCGGGGGAA